GGTTGGCCCTAGTTAATAAATAATCCCTGGTTTCATTACCCTTATATAAATTCCCATTTTGTTTATCAAATTCAAGGCATACTACTCGATTACAGTCTATATTGGTACAGTGTTTGCATTAAAAAATATTCAAGTTTTTATACAGATGCCATTATTGCAATTTCAGACACTCCAAGATATAAAAAATGCAACTAATTACTATGAATCAGAATCACATTCAAGAGACTGGTGTGTTTGAGAAATCATAATACACAATACATTGTAAGCCACTTGAACAGCCAACAAAGTCAGGAATTATAATGAAAACATTTGAATTTAATTGAAGAATGACCCGTAGTTAGTTCATCCTAACTTATGCTCACAGAGGCTGTAATAGTATTGGACACTAGCACCAGTGCAAGAAATCAGGCTAAGATTTCAGAAACACTCAATAATTAATTCTTGGAATTAGGTTTGTGTTCCAAAGAGGTTGTTTATTTCAAAAGACATATTGGTTGGTTGGTTTGTTGTTTAACGCCGCACTCAGCAATATTCCAGCTATATGACGGCGGTCTGTAAATAATCGAGTCTGGACCAGACGATCCAGTGATTAATATCATGAGCAGCGATCCACGCAATTGGGATTGCCAAGCGAGCCTGACCACCTGATCCCGTTAGTCGCCTTTTACTACAAGCATAGTCGCCTTTTACGGCAAGCATGGGTTGCTGAAGATCTATTCTACCCCGGATCTTCACAGGTCAAAAAGACATATTGGGCCAATATTAAACCAATATAAGCCACAAAGAGTTACTGCCCTTTTCAATGTCAGCTTGAGTCTATTTGACACGTCTGAAATGCAAAGTACTGAGGTGGGTGACATCACACTTCATATAGGTATTCATTCTGTGTCACATGACATGAGTGAGATAGACATCACAGGGCTGATACAACACCGTGTTTAACAACAAGAAGCAGCAGATCTCATTAACATGATGCGTCAATGATGCTCCAAACAGATTTTGATAACAGCTTTAACAGGCTTTACATAGCTCTTTATAGTTTACAGATATGAAATGTAAGTACCAAAAAAAGAGATGAAAAATGTGTACTCCATTAGACAACACAGATGTAAAGACACACATTCACTGCATGCAACTTGAACAAACGGCACGGGAGCAGGTTATGCTCCACATTGAATTAGAGGAGCAAAACAATATGCTATTAAAGTCTATATGTGGCAGACACAACATTGTACATATTTATTTTATTCGCCTTCAGTAACTGCTTTTAAGTGTTCAACTTTTATGTTTAATCATTGGTTAAGATAGATTAAATGTAGTTAATGTGTCCTTCATGTTGTAAGCCTTAACAAACCCAAGCCATGACTTGCTCAACTGATACAGCCCTGCTACATATATGCTATCTAAGTCTATATGCTATCTAAGTCTATATGCTATCTAAGTCTATATGCTATCTAAGTCTATCTGCTATTAAAGTCTATATGCTATCTAAGTCTATATGCTATCTAAGTCTATCTGCTATCTAAGTCTATCTGCTATTAAAGTATATATGCTATCTAAGTTTATGTGCTATCTAAGTCTATATGCTATCTAAGTCTATCTGCTATTAAAGTCTATATGCTATTAAAGTTTATATGCTATTTAAGTCTATATGCTATCTCAGTCTAAATGCTATCAAAGTCTATATGCTATTAAAGTCTATATGCTATTAAAGTCTATATACTATCAGAGAAAATCATGCATAAAAAAGGATGAAATCATAATAAATTTCTTACAAAGATCTATTGGCAAAATACACATTTTTGTTACATGCCCGTGAGGAGATCACCAGTTTAATCAAAATACAGCTGTATTACACATTGTGTAATACCAAAATGCGTGCTTATGTACTCTCGTAACAAGTTTCACAAACAAATATGGAGAGCTCTCAACATCCCTTGGCTTATTCAACGACATTGCGTGTGGAGATGATAGATCACTGAGAGGAGCTTATGCACACTCGATGATCCAAGCAACCTTGTTGCTAGGCTGACATCACAAGGCATTGTTTCGCTGATCGATCGTGCAACAGAATTCCACAAATTACATCATCGGGTATTGTGGCGTGATTGTAAACTTTGAGGTGCAGGGCCCGTTATATGGTACTAAATTCAAACGTTTCAACTTTTGACGTGTTTAAAGTATTATTCTGTCAAACTCAATAGAATTATGCCATGGATCGTGTAGGTGTCAGCCTATTCACACTCAACAGTATAATTCTAAAAACGTTATAAATGGCAAGTAATAAATAAAATACGAAACGAGGTCCTGTGTAAAACCAATTCTATGAAACTCGCTCGTCAGATACCAGAACTATTCACTCATTTCATAAAATTGGTATTACACAGGAGCTTGTTTGGTATTCTATATTAATTAAACTACCATAACGTGAAGCACTTCAATGCTTTATTTCATTGTGTCAGCAAAAATCTGACTTACGTTATCCGTAACAAACTTCATTGCCGATACATTATCAACAAATAAACTGCATACTAGCTTCATAAAGTCCTCTTCCAAAACTTGATGGTCCGGAAGTGGAGAATCATGGGTTTGATACAACTTCTGCTTCGATGGAGGTAAGGTTAGCCGGTCATCATGTCTGAGCTTGAGTAGGCTTTCAGAAGCCTGATGTACCAGCTTGTCTGCATAACTCGGCCACGGCAATGTCTGGTGGGTATGTTGAGATGATGTGTGAGCATGATATCCTCCATATTCCAGCATTCCTTCTGTATAATCCCATTGGAGTGAAACGTCAGACTGATTAACCTCCTCATATAGGTCCGATTCCGCGTCAGAATGACCATGGGTAACTCCCGGGAGGGGTGGATGTTCGTCATAATCCATACACTCAACGTATCTCCTGTGCGGTTCATCATCCTCTGGTGTCCAGGACTCCGCTACGAGTAAGGTCTGTGCAGCTTGTGATGACTGCCCGTGTATAACGGAACCCGTACAGGAATAATGGTCCTCCATCAAACCGATAGGCTGTCGCATGATGTAAACTCCGTCTCAGTCGGTAGACCATGGACAGTCCTGTGCGGTCCGAGCAGTCGGCTTGGATACCGTCGGTTGATGGTGACTATGCGATTGATGTGACGCTCCCGTAACAGTCCTGCCGTACAGCCGTAGCTGTGGTCTAAATGCCCGTGTCTCTCGGGAGGGTAAAGCTTGGGAGCTTATACCTGGCTGGTCCGTATGGTCATCTGTGGTAGGCGGTACAGGCGTGGCTGGTCTGAACAGATACCTCCCTTGGGCCTCTTGGCCTAAGGACTCTTCTTAGCCAATACTGTCTGTTCTGTGAGGATCTTCCATGATCATAAAATGGCCACACAAGGGGTTAGGGAGACTCCATGACAATCTTTGTCTTTGACCGTGGTCTAACTAACTGAATTGTTAGTTAAACACCACTTGGCAATGACGGAACTTCTTTTTTCCTCTATCTTTTGTCTTGATGATAGAACAATTTCATGAAAAACATTTGTCGCCAGCAGGAATCGAAACCAGAGAAGTCTGCACTGAAGGCTAACGAATGTAGTCTTCTGCCACGGCAACATGGGAGATAGTTTATGAAATTAACAACTAAATATATACTTACATCAGGACCAAGTGCTTATCCCTTTATGAATTGCGAAATGTGTTTCATGCAATGTTTACACAGTATGTTACTCTATGCATTCTAGTATTTGTACAGTACTTTTGATTTTGTAGCTTTTGGTTCAACGAAATGAACAGATAGAAAAGAAATTACTATTATCTTGATCAGGGCTATATTTGCTCATAATAGGCCCATCAACATGGGCAAGTAATATTTAGTTGATTAATTAATGTGCTCGAGTTGGTCCAAAATGAATGGTATACTTGCCCCGGGACATGCATTTCATAACCCAAATTGGGAAAGTGCGAGGTGCACGTGCAAAAGGCTCAGGGAACACATTTCACGTGCTTAAACGAAGGGCCGACTAACACAGTGTTCTCATAGTTGAGCAAAGAGTTCATGAATATCTTTCAAAATACCTTTAAGAAAACAATTTTTTTAAAGCATTTTAGGTGCCATAAATGTTGGACATGGTTATAGTATGTTAGACCACTTGGACCCCAGTGTCTCATCGTTGAAATGGTTGATTAAACCACTTGGCGCTGCGCACCTCGTGGTTTAACTACCCATTTCAATGATTAGACACTGGGTACTTGTGGTCTAACCTATATTTCATATATCTGTTTTATTAGAAAACCATAGAACAATCTTAGATTAAATGAGACTGACCAAGTGCTCGATCATTACAACTATAGCAATAGGCGCTGAGTCTAGCACACACAGGAAAGAAGGGAAGTTTTCCTTCATTACGCACGTCATAGCTTGGGTTGCTATAGTGCTATTCAGGGACAACTAATTGTGTGTAATTGACAGTGAAGAGGATGCCTGTTGAAAATCTGAAAATTTAGTTAGCGTAACTGAAGCCAAAATACAAGATTTATGGCAAAGATGTAATAGAGGTAGAGGATTCGCAAGAATCATAAATATATATACACAAGTCCCCAGTGGCTGAGCATTCTGTCGGTGGCTTAGCATTCAGAAGGTTCAGGGTTTGTATTCCTGTCATTCGTCTCATACACCTATCACCTAGATTTTAATCTCTCTAACAACATCATTACCTAAGTACTGAGGAACATATTTATAAGCATATTGTATGTGCTGTCAAATAGTTTGTTTTCTTCACATCATCATGATTCCAAATAGAAAATACATACACTCATGAAAGTTTTATTTCCATTCTCAGAATCTTTAAGTGGATCTTGCCGTGAATCATATCCCACATGAAAAGTATGTTTCATATTATTATTCCATCTTTAAGCCAAGTTCCAGCAATGGAAGCCTTAGAAAATATTCTTGGCAATTTCACTTACAAGAACTTGAACTGAATAGTTAAATTTTTTAAGACTACTCCAGATACGAGACATACCTTTCTGTATGGGACCCAGGTGTTGAGGGCATCTACCCACACAATTTTCCCACTCCTTCCCGCACGAGTTTGTTCCTGCCCTCCCTCATCCCCACCTGGGGATGGAAACTTGAGATGGGCAGGGAGTGTGAGATGGTCTCGGACAAATGCAGTGGGGTCATCCTGACTGGTAGCTAGAACATCTTCCTCTACAATGGGATCACACCAGGCGAATGTTGTCGAAGTCCTTGAGGGTAGTGTAGGACTTCTGATATGACCCCCCTGAAATACAATGTTTCTGTCAGTGGTTCATAACATACCACCATCAGACTTGAACCAAGAGATCATTTTCTAGGGAAAATGGTAAGAACAAGATATATTCAGCACAATACTGATATTGAGAGAGCCATTATGGAATGCACATAAGATCATACCAGTCAGTGACTTTAGCCATAAGTTTGTGCAAAGAAAAAAGTCTTTCAGCTCTGGTCAAGCCTATTTACTTGCCATATTTACATCAGTTTAATGCACACACACGTGTTGCTCATGACACTATGTATGACCACTAGTAAAGTAATTAAAGTAGCCTACACAAGTTGACATTTTATCATCTATTGAAAGGGATAGGTTTGGGGAAACGTTTGGGCATATGCTCTTTGAATCAGCAAACATTTGCACAACAGCAGGGGTTTACCTGGGTCTCTATTTTCAGGCCCAGGAAATCCTCAATAATATAATTATTGGGGGGTCAAAATCAATGTGCATGCCACTACTATGGTGGTGTCCTCGGCTATGAGGACGGACGATTGGGAGAGACGTATCTTCCATGCCAGGATGGCATAATAAATGGCCTTCATTTCCTTGCAGTTGATATGTAGGATCCTCTCTCTAGTGTTCCAAGATCCTTGTACAGTGAGATTGTCCATATGGGCTACCCATCCCGAATCTGACGCGTCTGTAATAGATGGTGTTCAGGCGTCGGAGAAGTCAGAGGAATGCCGCTCATCAAATGCTCTCTGTGAGTCCACTAAAGCAGGTCCTGTAATAAGTTGGGAGGTAACTGAGTCTTGAACTCTAGGGTGTGGGATCTAGGGTGGACAGGATCCATGTTTGCAGAGGATGTAACATCAACCTTCCTCTGAAGGTTATTTCTTGTAGAGCCGTTAGGTTGCCTTAAAGAGACATCCACCACCTTAGAGACCTGCTGGGTTGAATTGATAGGGATTGAATCATAGTAATAGTCCTGACGAATCGATCCTCTGGTGGACAAAGATATCCCTTCTGGAATTGGAAATGCACTCTGATGTATACAATGTCTTGAACCGGAGTGGTCTTGGACTTGGAGGGATTGACTAGGAGGCCTAGGTAGATCATAAGCTGAACCAGAAATAGCATGTTCTGGGCTAACTGAGCTTCTGCCAGGAAATCGTCCAGGTAACCATGCATTTGTACTATCTGGAGGTGGGTAAATCTGATGACTGGCGCTGTGTTCCTGGTAAACAGCCAAGGGGCTATTGATATCCCAAATGGTAAGACCTGGAACTCATAGCATTGACCATTGATAGCAGGTCAAGGCTGATGAGCCAATCTCCTGTCGTCAAAGCATGGATTCCATCTGGAACTTTGGAGGAGGTACCAGGAATGATTTCTTGAGGATCTTATAAGTCTATTATCATCCTCATGTCGGGCGAATTCTTCTTCGGAACTAAGAATACCAGAGAATAAAAAACCTTGGTCTTGTTGATCTCCAATAGTTTCGGAATGGCTCACTTCTTTAGCAGCTTCCTGACGGCCAGATCTGCGGCCGCTTGTTAGGCTCCGACTCATCTGCAGCTGTAAATACTTACATCTGAAACAGTAGCATGTCTAACATACTTTCTTTCTTTCTTTGTTGTTTAACGCAGCACTCAGCAATATTCCAGCTAAATGACAGCAGTCTGTAAATAAGCGAGACTGGACCAGACAATCCAGTGACATTCCAGATGTGCAGTGATTGTTGCCAGAAGACCCGCCAGACGTCCCATTTTGACAGGAAACCACCGTCAAGCACGTCTACAGTGGTACAGACTATTCACTGACGAGTCTTGTTTTCACTTCAGCCACAGCGACGAACGGATTCGAGTTTACTGACGTCGCGGTGAACGTTACATCAATCATTGTGCCATGGAAGAAGATCGGTTTTTGGGGTGGCAGCGTTATGGTATGGGGTGGGATTACAGCAAGACAGAGGACCCGTTTGATAGTGGTAGAGGGAAATCTCAATGGACAGTGCTACCGCGACGAGATCATCGGCCCTGTTGTTCTACCGTTTTTGCGTCATCATGGCCCAGGCATTACCTTTCAGCATGACAATGCCCGGCCTCGTATTGCTCGACTTGTTCAGGATTCTCTTCAACAAAACAACGTGAATGTCATCCCCTGGCCTTCGATGTCAACCAGGTGTTCCACAGACAATCCAGGAACTTCAAAACATGCTCCAACAGATATGGACAGATATCCCACAAGGCTTTGTGCGACGCCTGGTCCATTCCATGAGACGAAGATGTGTTGCTTGCATCACAACCAGAGGTGGACACACACGCTATTGATTTGTAAATTGACATTTTGGCATGTTCATGTTTTTTTATGAAATCACGCATTTTCTGAAGTCAGTATGGCAAATTAAACCATTTGAACACTTACAGGAGTCTTTTACCTGTTGCAAACCGAAATTGTTTCAGATTTGGTAAAAAACATAACTTTGCATTAAATCTTATTTAATGTCACAGGAACATTTGTTGTTCAGTATATGTTTGATCATTCGAGAATCTTCTGGAGGGGACTGTTTCTAGAAGGCTGGCTGTACAAGTCTATATAAAAGCGAAAAGAGAGCAATTCGAGCATTTCAATTTGGAAATCACCTCATAACAATTTACATGTCATTAAATCTATTGCATTTGCACTCAGTAATTTCTTGCTCTAAATAGTTAAGTTAATTCAAAACTAACAGATCCTAATTTTTAAGGTGCCTACTCTCACTTATTTTCTGTGGCAGTCAATGTCACTTTGTGAGAACAAAGAGCATAAATAATATATACCAAACATTTCAAACTTTACAGTAGTTCTCTAACATAGTTGCAGTATTTTTATTACTAAAAAGAAAAAATGCTTGCTTTAGCCCTATCTTATATTGAAATTAAATGTAATCAGAGCCACAACATTGTCTTTAGGTTCTTACCCGAATGATCAGTAAGCATGGTAAGAACATGATTGTGTTTAATTAAATGAATACAGACACGATACAAGTGAGTGAGATTGTGAGGTTTTACAACAGTCAGCCCTCTTACAGCTATATCCACAGTCAATAATTGAGTGAGTTGTATTTTACGCCGCTTTTAGCAATGTTCCGGCAAGATCACGGCAGGGGGGACACTAGAAATGGGCTTCAAACATAGTACCCATTTGGGGAATCTATCCCAGGTCTTTGGTATGACAAGCAAATGCTTTAATCACTTAACTACCCCACTGCACCCACAGTCATTAAACATGACAAATAAGCGCTTTACATTTTCATGATATTTTCAACTATAAAATTCTCTTTAGGGCAGAAAAGAAAAAACACCTTAGCTGCCATGTATTCAAACAGTTATGGTGTCCTTGGAAGTTTTCAGCTATATTTTAATCTAGGGATACTCTTCACACAAGGGTTATGACAGACCTCATTGACTTTCAATACACTGATGACCATTCACTAATTATTGCTATGAGCATATAAATCCTGTATAGAGCTCTGTACAAACTCTACAATAGCATCTACATTTACAATATTCAATTATCATTGAAGGGTATTGATAAACATGTGTTTAAACCAGAGCTTTCTATTAATCAGAAGTATTGTCAACAATACAATTACTTACCAGTAGTACATATACAAATTCAAAGAATATTGAAGATTTAATATCCTCTGATAACAACATCCATAAGGAGCCAGGTATTGGCAATGAGTTGTTAGTACTTTATGTTAGCTAAAGTGAAATATAAGTAACATAAAAAATAATAATTCCAGTCCCAGAATTTATGTGGTTACTTTTACAATGATGGAATGTGAGTAAACTTTGATATTCTATTCTCTTAAACATAAAGGGCAGACTCTATTAACCTTTAGCCTGCTGAAATATGTTTTGAGGTAAATAAATTACTGAAAGTTTTGATATTAAGCAAGCTGAGCACTTATGCATGTCATACGTAATTTAAATGTTACGCAAAGCCTTCTTGGTAAATAGATATGGCGAGTTTTATTTTGGGGTGTGGACGGGCCTGGATTATATCAAGCAACTTGGAAAAATGTTATTGTGACTTAGCCAAAATTCACCAAAGGATTAGTCAGCATGGTGAGACAATTCTAAGTTATTATAAACTATCTAAACTGATCATCTGTTTTCTTGGGACCTAAAATACTGGAAGAAAATGTCTTCTGTTCCCAGCTCGTCTAGTGCCCAGCACCTTGAATAACTCACACTATTGAGGACCACATGAACAGTATTAGCATGCTCAACTTCAGAATTCTAGTGCTTTATAAATAGTTCTTGCCTGGTGTGTTATCATATAAGACTTAATGTTTGTCGCTGAATATCCACTTCATACTATAGTTCAAACAATGATCAACAACTTGAACAAACACACCTCACTGAGTACATAAATTTTATGATATGTGTAGATTAATGGCACATTCAGTTTTGCATGTTTTGGTCTTCATAATAAGTCAACAAGTAAAACCATTTCAACAACAAATGTAAAATATGATAATAATCAAAATGTCTCAAAGAGGTTAAAATTACATTTGTTTCAAGAATCAATAGTTAGATCTACTTTGTTTACATTTTCTGTCTGTTTTATTCAGCAAAATTGACTCACTGAGAACTGGTTCAGAATTATAGCCCTCAAATGCCACTAGTCAATGTGGACTACCATCAATCAAATTTTACTTGTCCCCGGCACAATTTAGTAGTCTCAGGCTAGTGTTTCGAAAGCTGACTCCATATAGATTTTTGCCCAACTGTTCAGCTTGTAGATTCAAGTATTTTGCACATACTGAATATTCAATCATTCACAACAAAATCAGACCTTTTCATACATGCTATTTTGAGAGAATTATTAATGCATCATATCTTCTTAATAATTATCTTGAAAAGTGAACATATAGATTCTGGGGACAATATTTAGTCATGCTGTTCTTAGACTCCAATTCTGGACCCACCATAGTTTACAGTTTCTTTCACTGCCTGGGTGAGTAATTGAGCAAATAGATAAAAGAAACACCTATTAATAGGTTATCTTGTTTACTCATGACAGTGCAAGCACACATCCTGGGCATTACATTTAGCACAATGACTAAGTATGATTGCCTGTGGACATATTTAACCTTTTGTCAAACTACGATATGGCTATTAATGTGGCATAACATGGCTTTACATGACCATGGTAAAGTACTTACTTTAGAAACCGATACTAGGCTGAGCCTTTTTCGAGTATCTTCTCCTTAGATCATCAACATTTGATTTCTTTGAAATCCACCAACAAGACATGCATTTTAGTCTAGGCTTACATCTTCTAGGCCTATAGGGTCTATCGAACAGAGCCTATACAAAGCCAAACCCTGCTGAAAACTGAGTAATTAAACTACCAACCTTGTTTAATATTGATTGTTCGATGTAATGGCTTCTGAGATTGTCACAGTATGTTGTGTTGTGACAATGTACTTTGTCGTAGTCAAAAGTTCCATATTCTCTAGAAATGGTTCCATAACAACGCGACTTGTCGGTGCTGCCCCGCGAGATTCTATATGGAGTTGAAAATCGGTCTTCATCGAATAAATCCGAATCATAGCTTATCTCAGAGAGAGTAGGAATAGACGCCATCTATAACGAAAGAGAGCCGCTTTCCTAGACACACGTCTTTCGAATATTCATATAGGCCATAGCCATCCGACGCTAGAGTCTTCTCGCCATGTCGACGTTCCACCTTGCACGTGGTGAACAAATATTGCTGTGCGTGCTGAAGTGATGTATGGAATCCCACCGGGGTCATGAAGTCATTTAGCGGTATCATTAGTCCCATAAGAACAGATAGACTATGCAGAAGTCTAATTACATGAATTCTCTTTTGTTGTCATATGGATCACTGACTTCTTTTCTTAGATCATATCCGTTGTAGACATAATTATGCTGCTGCACGAAAGTTGTATGTTGTCCACCGCTTTTGAGAGCACAAATGCTCTCCACAAAATGCCTCTGGTCTGTACGGAACAGCTAAAGAATAATAACACACAGGTAATTTACCCAACACTGTTTGCTCAAATATGACAAGACCTTTAGTTTCCCGATCGTTATTCAACATTTGAATAATCATATATCAGCGCGCAAAACATGCACATATTTGCGTGTTTTATCGTTTGTTTGCTAAATTGCCTGGAGTTATCTCCCCTTGGGAAAATCCTTGCAAAACGTACAGGTCCTCAGTAGGTTGACCCATTCTTGTCGATGAATTCGGGTGGTTATAATTTTCATAAAACTATATGTGACATATATTCAACGTTCGTCAATAGTGTCTGCAATATGTTGTGCAACGCGAACACAGATATAAAGTGACAAATTTTGACAGGGTGTGAACAGATCGACATAAAAAAAATCGAATTTATCAGGCAAGCGTTATGTATCAAGATAACAACTTTAAATTTTATCAGTTATTTTTTTTATTCGTCGTGCTTGACACTTGTGGCAAATTCGTATATATTGCTCATGTTTGAATAACCCTAAAATGTTCGACGTGACAATATTGTGTCCAAGAGAAACACATTTATAAAAAAGTCAATATTGGAGAATTATGTGTACTGCAAAGGTAGACTTATGTGTTTACTTTAACATCCAGCTTGTTGTCCATTTACTATAAGCCAAGGAATCTCTATGAGTACCAAAACTGCTCTCAGTATCTTGTACATGCCCTTCTAACACGTGCAATATTACGTTATTAGTGATCTAGGTCTGTGCTAATGTTTGTTTAGGCTTACAACTCGCTGTGATTATTTTATTCTGAGATATCGAATGTTGCTACAATAAACCACCCACACACAATGTTGTACATTGGCTATGAACTGTAATCATTTTGTTCGCCCACCTGGTGAGTTGACAACTCACTCTGCACCATTTTCCTGCATTACTGACGCTAATCACAGGCACCCCTTGGGATTCCGGGCTAGACTATAGGCCCCCAGCAACCTATGCTGGCCTTAAGAGAAAATGTAAAGGAAAGGGTGGTCAGGTTCGCTGACCTAATTGACTGCGTGTCATCGTTAACTGACGATGTTGGACCTTACTCATGATATCAATCACCAGATTGTCTGTTCCATACTGGAATATTTACAGACCGCCATACGTCATGTAGCTTGAATAATGGTGATTGCGGCGTTAACAAAAAACAGAAAACTGCTATAAGAGGTTATAAATCCTGTATAGTGTCTGCTCAGGCAAGTGACTTCATATTTGAAATATGTCTCTATTTACCCAGCAGCAAATGGGTTCCCGGTTGGTAGAGCGTTTTATGGTTATACAAAACTTACAGTTCGTAAAAGGCAGCTTGGGTTGTATACGTACTCTACAGGGAGCTAAGAATGTAAATTTAGTGCAGATTGATCTGCACAACCTGTGTAGCACCTTGAACATGCCGTAGGTCGAACCACGACACGGTACAAATATGTTCTTCTTCTCCTCGTCATCCTGCTTTTCAATAAAACAGCTACACACATTGAGGAGTCGAAGCATTTAGGGACGCCGCGTCAGTATTGAGTGAATTTGCATGCTTGCCACGTGTATGCTATACTGACAGTCGAGTGTTAATTCCAGCAACAAACCGTTTTGAATATTTCAGTGGTCCTCTTGTATACGTGTGCGAGAATAAACCAATCTCTGAGTATACCTCGACCATCAACGTTTTAATAAAAATAATGACTTTTCACAGTTTAAATCACTTTGGAATTATTTACACGTGGAAAATAAAAAAGTTTGCCAAATATTTTATTACGTTAAATGTCACATATTAAGAATTGGAAATTGTGAAATAAGGGAATATTACAACTAATATGTCCCCTGGTCTTTAGACTGGTAAGGGTTAACCCGATAACGTCTATCGGACATGACTCGCATCTCTCATGGTGCTTGACTGATAGAGTTAGGCAAACAAATATAAGACGTTAATATCTTTATCATCCACCCTTATCAAAACACCCGTACCACGTATACATTCGTTGCATACTAACTGGTAAAGTATTATTCTTACTAAACACCATAAACACCTTTATCATCAATGCCTCGGTCAATGAAAGTGATATAATTCTATCTAGATTGCGCCACTAAAGTTCGCAATACTTTATTATTAGTTATATCAGTAAATGAGATTATCTGTAGTAGTTAGAATGGGTATACATACGGACGACAGACAGTCACAAATCATTCTGTGGCTGTTTAATAAACTGCGTTATATGACACAAACAGCCAAGTAACACATTGGACTAGTCTGTCTCACAACCCCTCAACCATATTGTTTTCCCTTTCACCCAGCCCTGGTGATCTAAATGAATCAAGTCTAGATTTCCCACATGTTCTGAATCTCCCATCTCACTTTTAACTGGGGCTCCTTTTCAATTTATCTATCAAAATCATATATTTTCAAAGACTAAGGGTTACTCTACACAATGGACATAGATAGGGCATAGATTTTGCTTACAATTTATATATGAAGAGGAACACGTTACTGCTACTGTTACATGAACATGTATAACATAATCAAAAGCCTTGTCTTGGCGAACAGTTCTGTCTACATGGATATTACACACAATTAGGGCGTGTTACGTGGTATGTGGTAACCGCTTCGAAGAACTGGCTCATTGTCCAAACTGAACGAAATCGAACACTCCTCCATATGTCGTTATCTCACCCACTTTTACGAAGAGCTATAATACGGTGATGCGTTGTCCGTCGTTTGTCGGTTCAACCGTCGTGTACAATTCCCCCCTGGAATCGCAAGGCGCTTGAAGCTGAAACTTTGCAACTGACATCTTTCTAAAAGGTTGGCCACCCATTTCCCCACTTTCTAACATCTGATGACATTTTGTATGCGCAATCCCTTCGAGTGGACACCCACCACCCCCAGCCCCCACTCATCCCCCTCGTATAACTCGAATGTATAAACGTTAAGTATGCCTCATAAAAGCGGCATAAAACAATACTCACTCACTCACTCAAATACACGCTTGTCAGCATGGTCTTTGCTTGTTGATTATCAGGAACATTTTGTCAAATAGTGTATTCACTAGGGTACTTTACAAAGGTTGGTCAGGTAAAGATCACACTGACACAATAGATTACCGATTTTATCAACCATATTTTTACAAAAAACTCTGTTATAAGTTTATTTAATGCAATGCAGCAAAATTCAGGAAGCGAAAGCTCTTTATCATCCCGAACTACAGTACACTGTGCCGCTCATCCAACCACGTAATCAGGAATGAACTGGTCAAAATACACCCAAACCTGTCAGTATCTTATCTGCCATTTCGCAGAAATGTGCCCATTTGGAAGCGCTCGTAAAATCTCTAACAAAACTACTTGTTTGCCAATCTCATTAAAATCAGATCTTAGTTCACGATACCGCTAAAATAGCGGCAGCGAGAACTAAGATCTGATTTTAATGAGATTGCTTGTTTGCGAAAGCGGTGTTACTTTCTAAACTCAGAGGTGCAAAACCCGTATTCCAACTACAGTTCGAGGAAGGATACATGTAGGAAAGTTACGTTTTGAAATTATGAAAAGATTTGAATAGGATATGTAAATAAAAGCGACAAAACCATTTTCATGTATTCATAGGAAATCTCTGCCAAAACAGAGGCGATTGTACGATTCCGACTATATGTCATGAACACGTGTTTATGAATCACTATCAAATTGTGATGTAACCACGCTTTCGCGAAAAGGTGAGCGGATGCAAATACAAGTAAATTGTTCACCTGGAAAAAAACACACGGAAACATATGGTACAAGTCAAAATAGGGAATTGCATCGGACATCGTTTTTGTTACTGATACGTTAAATTTTGAAACGTCCCCCACATGTCTTCCATCAAACTTTCTGAATGCTTTACCGATGCCTTGAATGCTGTAACCTTGATGAAACAACTTCTGAGCAAGATTCATATGACGCTCTTTTAAATCATGGTAGAAAGAGCATGCTCGTACCTCAAGAGTTTTGAACTGTAGACACCAAGGGTTGGAGCTGCAGGAATATTGCTCGACACAACATACTCTTATCTATCGAGTTCACATGCAAAATTATGACATTGCAAGATCAGATAATGGTTGACAATATAAACATAATCAGCACTAACTGCCAAGGCCTGATCAACAAAAAACACGTAGAGATCTTTTTCAAAATTTGAAAAAGCAAAAAAGCAAATATATATATTGCCTGCAGGACACCCATTTCACTTATAACATAGAAAATAAAATTAAACAAGAATGGGGATCAAAACATTGTATATTTAGTTGTTATAAAAGTAACGCCCGAGGGGTAGCTATCATGTTTGAAGAAAACTTTGAATATAAAATATTAAAAGAAGTCCATGATAATGAATTTGGGAACCTTTTGCTCTTAAAATGCAATTAAGAGAAAAAAACCATTTACCTTAATCAACCTGTACGGTCCAAAAACCGACACACCAGCATTCTTCGACAAATAACAGCTATTGTCACTGAGTTGGAGTCGGATCACTGCTCCATCTGTGGAGATTGGAATTTTACCCAAAACCCAGACATTGATTTGCATAACTATAAAAACGTAAACAACCAAAACGCCAGAGAAAAAATATTAGATTTCATAGATGAACAATCCCAGACGAGAGACGATATACGTGGAGACAAACCAAACCCATAAAACAAGCCAGATTAGATTACTTCTTGTTGTCAAGAGACCTTGAAAAACCCGTAGATAAAGTTTGTATAGACCCTGCTTACAGATCAGATCACTCTATACTCATTGGATCTCGTTAAAACTTAACAGTATCGAGAGAGGAAGAGGCTATTGGAAGTTGAATCATTCCCTACAAATCGACAAAACCTTTGTTGAAAAGACTAAAGAAGCAATTCAAAATACAACAGAACAATATAAAACAGGTGTTGATGAACAAGTCAATGACATATTTGTTATATAACATTAATGTTGATGATAAGAGGTCAAACTGAAAAATACTCCTCGGAAAGGAAACGAAAGCGAGAACACAAAGAAAACAACTTACAAAAACATATCGAAGCATTGCAAATCAATCTAGACACCTCAATGGATATAGAAATTAAAAACGAAATACTAAAGAAACTTAGAAAGGTAAACACTGAACTGGAAGAAATAAATAACA